GAAGGTCTCGAAGTTTCTCGAAAACCGCAAATTAGAATGGTCCCTCAGCGCGGCGGAAGCATTTTGGTCCACGAGACCAGAGTAAATCGCCGCGTCCGTGCGCAAAGTGTAAAGTTTTGTAGCAAAGAAGTTTGTTACCAGACCAGAGTTTGGTTTGTCAACTTGAATTGAATGACACATGGCCAAAGATGTTCACTGGTGAAAAGTTTGAATGTTCCCTTGTACATTACGTTGGAGCGCGTTAGATGCAAAAACGCAAGGTAAAGTTGCACATTTTTTCTAACCGCAAGACGCAACACTCGATTTTTTTTGCAGTGGATTGGTCTGGTCGAGTGACTGAACGCAGGGTATAATTACAACGCTTCCCGGAATTGGCCAGGTCAAAGCAAAAAACGTAAAGTGTAGTGGTTAGTGTGGTCGAGGGACTGAACGTGCGGCAAATGACGTATTTCGGATGCTGATAAGTCATAGATGATGATAGATGATGAATATAGAGTTACGCATAGAGTCAAGCAAGGTTTTTGTCGGTTGCAAAAACGACGCAAAAGGCTTTTTTGGGCTTGTAAAGTCGTTTTGCACAGGAAGTTACAAATAGCTTACCACCAAAAATCTGGATCGGAGGCAAGTGGATTTTGGAACCTGATCCAAATTTGGCAATCTATTTTGTACTGTTACTGCAGTTTTTGTATCCATGTTTCCGGCAACCTCTTCCGAATTCGAGCGTGCAAGGTCGATTTTTGCCGGTAAGCTATGCGGAGTTACATTGCATGATTTTGTGTTTCGGATTCCTTCACTCATTCATTTATTTCTGCATTCTCTTGTTTGTTCGTTCATCCATCCATTCATTCGTTCGTTCATTCTTTATTCATGTGTTATCCGATTAAATTGCAAATGCTTTGTTGGTGTAAAAGCATTCTTTTTTATTGATACACATCCTTTTCAACACGGACAACCGTTTTGAAGTTTCGTGGCTTTTCAACATCTGCCCTCTTATCAAAACACAGTTTGGCGCAAAACCACAATATCGACGTTTTCTTGTTTCCTCGGAAGTAAAAATCGCAGAACATGCGCTGCGTCACCATCTACTAGTCATGATCAGAAAGTAGATTCCTTCCCAGATTTCAATTGGATTAGAAAAAGGAGTTGGCTCGAAATGAGATGGACAAAATCAGCATGTCGTTGGTAGTTTGGCAATCTGGTTGCTCCATGGTCACACTGCTGGGATTTGGAATTGTCAAGTTTGGACGGAGCTCAAAAGGTCCTCGATCGAGTTGTGGACGTTACCCAAAATCTTGTTTAGACTGTATAGGTGTGGAGGTTGCAGACCACTGATGAGTCTTGTGTCTATGCAGTTTGTTGGCAATGGCGGTGGCTGCAGTTCTTGTAACACATGTTGTGGCAACCGAGATTGTTTGTCTCTCAAACATTTTGCGGCACCGGTTTGTGTGTTCAACCGCATCATGTTGTTTTGCTGATGCAGTTGCGACTCTTGTTGGATTTCCATTTTGTGTTCGCTCAAATTCAGCGCCACGTCGAAGTGTGCTAGCAATCTTCAGGCAAGTTCTTGTCAGTTTCTGAATGTGTGCAGGAGGATCTGCACAACGGGTATGATCATCAAACGGTGTGCCATGTGGTTACTCAGTGCACCCATGCATGTTTGCATTTTTCAGCTTCAAGTCGAATCTCAGATAGACGCTTCGGCACCGGCAGGCAATCATACTGGCGCAATCAATTGTACTGGGTTTCGTTCGGGTAACACCACTGGATGCACAAGGTCGTGCAACAATGCTAAAGAGAAGCTTTTCTGGGTTGAGTGTCATGGGTCATGCTGATGGCCGTCGTGTTCCAAGGCTGACTCCTAAGAAGAATGAGATCGCATCCTTTCGTTTGTGACAACATGCCCCGGATGCACACGATAATTCACTGAGGTCATTTGCGTGAGTGTGTCAGGCCTCGTCGCCCTTTGCATCATGCAGCTTGCAGCTCCATTCGTCTGCAGCTGATCGCAGGTTTCGCCATGCCGACTAAACGACCCGTGCCTTTGAGCGATGCGGCTCTTGGACATAAAGGCTTTACACGAGAAGCTATGTACAGTCTTCTGAGCGTCTCCTCCTGTGATAGGTGATACTAGCAGCGAGCTCGCAATAGGCGAGACAAATGTTGGGATCCCAAGCTTCGTGCTTCTGTTGGCCGCCCGTATTCGCCGTTGAAGCAGTGAAACATACAGCTTCCATCCGTTGAGGCTGGTGTGCCTTTACCAGTCAAGCAGCTTGACTGCAGTGGCCGTGCAAGGGACCCCTTGAGCCGGCTGACTGTTTCGTGACAGCTCAGGAACACGTTCATTGATATGCCATCTGGTTTGACACCAGTGAACTCTCCGAGCAAAGACGCCCACCCATCGAGTACAGCGCCTGCCCAGGCAATGTTGTTTCATGTCGCCAGCGGCGTTTCGAGGATGTAGTTGCTGTGCAGGTTCATCTGCGGGAGGGATGGATCGACAGGCCGGTCGCAAGCTTTGAACTACATTTGCACATGAACATCTCGCACAGCCAGGGCGATCGACCGGGGCATCCTGGATGCCGTGCAAGAGACAATAGCAGTAGCCTTAGGCTTTGCATTTACGCGGACGGCAGTGGAGTGTGCAAGTTCAGCTTCTGGTTGTTCTCAAGGACTCGCCGGCCAACGTGCCCACAGATCCAGGTAGGACCCGCTTGCACAAAGTGAAAGAGCAAATGTGTGATCCGGTGCGGGTTTGGAAGCCGATAAGGCAGTGTGTAGACTTTTCCCTCCGAAAACTGGGTCCATTGCTACAATCCGCCACACTCCTTGGTGTAGTCTTGTCGACCGGTTGCTGATTCTACACGCGGGTTCTTGACTTCTGTTGGCGGAGGTGTTCCTGGGCTGGCGTCGACAAGTTCCGCCCAGCGGCCAGTGTGCCAAGCATGTGCAAGGGGCACTTGCATCTAGAGATGCCTGGGTCGTGAGCAAACAGCCCACGTAGTCTTTTGCATCGCAGAATCTTCGCTTGCAGAATCCAGGCCCGGGGGCTTGGCGGCCTGGGGCTCGAATTGCGGGGTTGGGGCTCCATCTGAGCTCGGGACTGTTCTAAGTGCTTGTATCTCACTGAGTTCAGTGGATGTACTGGGAATTGTCGCTGGAGTCAGAGATTTGGAAGATTCGTCTCAGTCTTGGCAGCCTTGCCTCGACTCGAGCAACTTCGCAAGTTCTGGAAACATCTGTCGGATGCAGGCATACCCTCAGACCAATCAGTCGCTAGCCTTATGCTCGAGCTTCTCGCCGAAGGAGAAACGATGCTGAGTTTCCCTGTGGTTTGGATTCCCCATGCCAGTCTCAAGGCCAGTGCTCCGCTGATGACACCGTCGCCGACTGGCCAATCGATGTTCGGAGAATCAAGGCAACATGGGTGGCTCTAAGTACAACTGTTGAAATACTTACGGCGAGCCTTGCAGAAGAATCAACTTGTACTGTCTGGAAAGCTGCACCCGACAGGCTTGTGACTGCAGTATGCAGTGTCCTCATTGTATACCTCATAAGTCCAAGCTGTCTGAGATTAGCATCTGAGCTAGTGATGTGAGCTGGAGATGGCACCTGGGTTGATTGACCCTGCGAATGTTGTGGAGCTCGTGCCGCTGGAGAGGTTGAACTTTTCCGAAATGCTGTTCTCAGGTATCAGCTGTTTGGAGGGCCCCCGCCGCCAATCCAAGAAGCCGGAGCCTTGCTGCTCTTGCCGTGAAGGGTCTGAAAGGCGAAAGGCTTGCGCTTCCAGACCTGGGACAAAAACAGGGGATCTGCTTTTACACTCTCGGCTTGCAGGATCCTCTGCAAAAAAAGTTGTAGTATTGGATAGGCTCGGACGAGTTCCGATTTGAAGTTGCATGGTGCTGTTCTTTGGAGCCGTCATGCAGGCTCCATTGGCAGCTCCTGGCCCCGAGCTGGGCGGCTGGTCTTGAGCATGGCTTGGTTTTTTCGGATCCAGGAAGCTTCTTGGCTTCGGGGTCTTGCGGTGTCGTCTCCGACGCTCCGGAACTCAACATCCAGCCCTCGATTGCGCAGCATCGCAAGTCTCGCAACTCTCTGCAGCCTTGCGTCGAAACCCCAAGGGTCCCCAAACCGAGAGAAAAACAATGCAGAGCAAGGCAGAGCCGCAGTCGCACGCAGTTGCATGTGCGAAGCTGCTTAAGAGCTGCGGCTCTACGAGGCCAGCGCCTGCACAGCGCCCCGGCTCCTGGTCTTGGCGAGCCTCTGCTGCTGTCGGTACCTCCGCCCAGTCAGGCCAAGTCCTTCCAAATGTTGTGGTGATACGGAATCTTCATCAAAAATTATCTTGCCAGCTTTCTGGTGCAGGCACCTCCTCCGCAACATCTTCCTTTGTACGCTGGAGGCTTTGGCGGAGCCCCGCCTTACTACGACTACAACTACCTTGGACCCCCAGGCGCTGCATCAGTGTCTTCCTCCTGCTGTCGTGCTATGGGCTGAAAGTGTTCCTTGCGTTGCAAGGAGCACGAATATCCGAGCCTTTTGGAGTTCAAGATTTTGCTCGTCGGACTTCGCTGGAAAAAGACAGTGATGATGACGACGATTCAGAGGCTGAGCGACAACAGGCCAGCTTTTCTGAGTCAAGGGCATCTGTTCAGAGAGAGAGAGAGAGAGAGAGAGAGAGAGAGAGAGAGGGGAGGGGGCGTGTGAGCATGCCCGCTCTCGGACTGTGCTGAAGAAGAGCGAGAGAGAGAGAGAGAGAGAGAGGAAACTTATGCTCTCATTTGTTGCTTTACAGACCTTGCAACGTCGTGGTGTCCCGACAATCACGTGGTGTTCAATGGGGGAACTTATTCTAACTTACTCTAATGTTTCGAAATCGGGTGTAGCTACAGACCCCCAACACACCAGAATG